GCGTCCAGTCGGAGGGGACCCCAGAGGCTGGTGCTGCAGAGCCCTGAGTGCACCCAGCCTCCCCTCTGGCTCCTCAGGTGGGAGAAGGGCTTCATGAACATGTAGGGCCACCTTTGCTCTGCTCACCACCAAGCCCCTACTCGAGAAAGCCGGGGAACTGGTGCCCTGGAAACACATGCTCCCTGAAACTTCAGTGAAGAAGATTCTGCAGAGTAAACCTGGTTGGGAAGTTCAGCAGATTGGCGTTGCTTCTCAGTGCATGACGCACTTGCAGGAGGGGTGTGCGGCTTCCGTCTGCACCTGTCTGACCGTCTGTCTCTTGCTTCTGAGATGCACTGTGAGACCTGAGTTGTGTTGCCGAAGCTCCTGCAGAGTGGCGGCTGCTGGCTCTTCCCCAGCCTGGAGTTAGAGAGGGAACCCTCTGGCCTGGGCCACATGGACTTGCAGGAGCTGCCTAGGACACAGCTGAGCAGAGGCACATCACCCCCCCCCACCACCACCACCACTACCACCACTGCCATACGGCATGGCCTGAGGCTGGGGGGCATCATTTTATATGCTTATTTGCCCTCTGTATATCTTCTTTGGTGAGGTATCTGTTAAGGTCTTTGACCCATATTTTAATTAGGTTGTTTGTTTTCTTGTTGCTGGGTTTTAAGGGTTGTTTGTGGATTCTGGATGACAATCAGATGTGTCTTTTGCAAATATTTTCTCTCTGTAGCTTGTCTTTTCATTCACTTGACAGTGTCTTTCACAGAGCAGACAATTTTAATTTTAATGAAATTCAGCTGACCAGTCCTTTCTTTCAGGGATTGTGCCTTTGGTGTTGTATCTAAAATGGCGCTGCCAACCCCAGGTCATCTAGATTTTCTCCTGTGTTGTCTTCTAGGAGCTTTATAGTTGTGTATTTTATACTTGAGCCTGTGACCCATTCTGAGTTAGTTTTTGTAAAGGGTATAAGGTCCGTGTGTAATTCTTTTTTTCTTTTTTTTGCATGTGGACGTCTAGTTGGTGCAGCACCATTTGTTGGAAAGACTGTCGTTGCTCCATTGTATGACCTGTGCTCCTTTCAAAGATCACGTGGACGGCATTTATGTGGGTCTATTTCTGAGCTCTCTATTCTATTGCATTGATCTGTTTTGTCTATTCTTTCACCAATACCACATAATCCGGTTACTGTCGTTTTATAGGAAGTCTTAGTCGGGCAGCATCCATCTTCCAACGGTGTTTTCTCCTGTAGTATTGTGTTGGCTCTTCTGTTTTGGTTCTTCACTTATAGTTTTAAATTCTCCATTAATAGTTCCTATCTGTTCACTCATCGAGACAATTTTTTGGTAATTACTTTAATGCACTTTCTTTTCTAATTACATACATTTAAATAGCTGCTTTAAAGTCTTTGTCTGATACATTCAACAGCTGTGACATTCTGGATCAATTTCTATTAACTGCTTTTTTTCCCCACTTGACTCTGGGTCATATATTTTTGCTCTTTGACTTGTCTAATAATTTTTTGTTTGTGTGCTGGACATTGTAAAGAATATGTGATAGAGATTCTAAATTCTATTATTTTGCCTTGAAGAATGTTCACTTCTATTCTATCAGGCAGTTCAGTTACTGGCTTTCACCTTGAACTTGCATAGGTTTGGTTTGGTGTTCTGGTAGGGCAGGTCTGTGGAAAGCCCAGGTTCATTCCCAGGCTTCTCTAATGTGGTGGGACCAACTTCCAAATGTGGAGGGCCTGGCTTCCCGCTTTGTCACAGTAGAGCCCTGCCTTAAGGTGTAACCCTTATTCTCAAAGCCAGGTGTCTCAGAGGGCACTGGGTTGTCACACAGTCTTTGTACTCCAGCCCAGCTGACCCTGAGGTAACTGCTGGTCTCTTGTGTCTGTTCCGTTTAACCCTGTAGCTGCCACTGTTTGGTAAACCTGGTGTGGTGCCCTGAGCATGCACAGCCCAGCCTCACACAGAACTCATGGAACCACACACGGCCTTCAGTCCCTCCACCAGTGTCCTCGATGCCGCTGCTGCACCCCACAGATTACAGCTGCTCCAGCTGCCCCACGCTCTGACCCCTGCCTCCTCGGCTTCACGTAGTGCTGGGCCCCACCTTGACTTGTGGCTGGGACATCTCCCTGGGCAGAGAGCTGCTGGGGCATCTGGGAGATTTCTCTCATCAGCTTCCCTTTCCCTCCTGTTGTCCAGTGCCTGGACATAGTTGCTTAGTATATTTTGTTCAGTTTGATGGTTGTTTGTAGCAAGAGGACTAGTCTGGTACCAGTTTCTCCTTCATAGCTACTTTCTTATCGTTCTTGCTTCATGAATGGTAAGACTGTTTATTTGTTGAACAGGTATTCTCAGCTCTTTACTGTGAATTGTACCTGTTATCATTGTTAAGTGTGGTATATAGTCTGGCTCAATGCTTTTAGCTCTGAATTCAGTCTTTGCTAAGATGGGACCCCACTTGTCTGCAGTCTCCTGGTATATCTCTGCTGATCGTTGTTTTGGTGTCTCTCTTACACATAGCACAGATTTGGATTTAACTTTGGATTCCAGTCATAATTCTGTTTTTATTCCTTTCTGGAGAAATACAAGGGCAGATACTAGGTAACAAAGGTGCCTAATGTCTGTGGTGGGGGGTGTGGAGAAAATAATGTTTTGTCATTATTTACAGTGGGGTATCAGATGATCTCTCAAATGTGAGGTTGACTATTGTATCTTTTCCCCAAATGGCAAAAGATGAGCGAATCAGTGAACTTAACATCCCTTCCCTCTTGCTACCCTCCCATCTTTCTGTTACTTACATAACCGGTTCTAAAGCCATAATCCCCATATTGTTTTAGACCTAATCCTGCAGGTAAGTAGATTCAGTTTTCTCTGCCAGGCCATTTGCTGTAGCTCTCCAGTTCTCTCTTATGAGACTGGGGTTAATCCTGTAGTCCTTCAGGAAGAGCTTATGGGAGCATATTCTTTGGTTTTTACATGTTCAAAAATGCTTGTCTATTGTTTTTGTACTTGAGCAGCAGTTTGGCTGGATATGAAGTTCTTGGGCCATGCCTCCCTTCGCAGCCATTGCTGTGCCGTCCGCTGGCACAGATGTGGCCGTGGGACATTCTGAGGACAGCCTAAACTTTACCCCCATAGACTGACTTGGTCTGTTTGCCTGACTACCAAAAGGACTTTTATTAGCTGTTATGTCCAATGGTTTTACTAGACGTATCTTATTGCTGACTATTCCGTAGCCTTTCTCTGGACTTGGATCATAAGACTTCAATTTCTAGAAGATTGATTTTCTAGTGCTGGCCAGGTAGCTCAGTTGGTTAGAACGTCATCCCAATACACCAAGGTTGCGGGTTCAATCCCCAGTCAGGTCACATACAAGAAGCAACCAATGAATGAATAAATAAGTGGAACAAAAATCCTGTGTTTCTTCTCTCTCTCTCCTTGCTTCCTCTTCTCTCTCTAAAATAAATTTAAAAGAATTGGTTTTCTAAATCAGTGAATGCTGGAGCACCTCTGCCTTGTCTTCCATGTCTGTTTTCTGTCCAGTCCATTGCAGCCCTTTGTCTCCCTTCCTTGCACTCACTTTGTGCCATTCCTGCCTTCACGGTCTTGTTAGGCGTCTCTGAGTCTCTGTCTGCTCTTCCCAGTTCCCCTTCATTTCTTCGAGTTTCCTGCCACCTCTTCCTGTGCTCTGCCGGTTCAAGTTTCCTCCTCCATTCTGTCTTTGAGTTTTTATTTTATAGAGGTAACTGCTTTGTAAAGTTTTATTTGTTAACTTATGGCTAAAAAATGCTTGCTGACAATTTCCATTTGCTTCCAAGGAATGTTGCCATTTGTTTTCCCATATTTCTTTGCTTCTTTTACCTTGTGTTATCTTTGTAGAAATGAGTGATTCTGAACTGAGGTCGCTATGGCCCCACTGGGAGGAGAATTAGGAGAAAAGGGGGTGCTGGTGAGGGATGGGCAGTGCAAGCCCGTGATACCCAGGCCTAGGCCAAACACAGGAGCAGTGGAGGAAGTGGCCCTTTGGGGTTGTCACAATGATGGCAAAGTGCCTCTGTCATTTAGTGTGTGGGGACAGAGATACCAGATGCCCTGCAGTGCACAACAACGTTCTGTGTAACAAGAACAGCCATGACCACAAAGGCAGCTCTGGTTGCAGGAGGCGCGTGCCGGGGAGGGGTCATCCCTAGCACTGAGGAGGACAGGGGTGCTGCACCCCAGAGAGACGCCAGCCTAGATGGTTGCTCCACACAGGTGGGGTGTGCGTGTGCAACTCCTTGTTTTGTGCCAGGACCAGCCCTCTTCTGGGACCCCGGCCGGGGCCTAAGGCTTTTCCCGTAGCTGGGTCACACCCTGCAGCTCCTCCTGCCACCTCAGTCTTCAGTGTTGGCATCCACTCGTCCTGTCCACACACTGCTGGCTCCCACTCTTGGCAGCTCTTGAACCCCTCTCGAATTTCAAGGTTTCACTTAATCTCAGTTTTGCTGAAGATGGAGTTTGCGTTTGTCATACTCCCCATGCTGCAGTGGGTGGGAGATCTCCCCAGAGGGAGAGGTGCTGAATTTACATCACTGTCATGCAGGAAATGTTCTGCTCGCCTGGGCACTTGGGTGCAGTCTACTTCTGTGGTGAGGGGCCGCAGGGTCCAGCCCATTGAGGCTTTTCCTGGGAGCCTGATTGGACCGAATTGAGCAGCCTCTGAACTGAGCAGACTGCATGCAGGGGGCTCTCGGAGGGGTGCAGCTCCGGGGGGCCTCGGAGGCTCTCTGGGGGAAGGGCCTAAGTCTTCCATCATAACCCGAGGGTTTGGCCAAGGGCAGGGGTCAGGCTGCTTCCCTCAGCAGGCCTGCTCCCAGCAGGAACAGGGTACGTTTGCAGGTGTGTGCAGCCCACATTTCCCTCCTCATTCTAGCTACTGGACAGTGTTTGTGGGTGGGAGCCTCTGTGACAGGTCTAAGAAGCCACCTAACGGTTCTCTTTGCCACTGTCAACTTGTAGGTGTGCAGGACTCATGAACTCACCAATCCTGGGATCTCTGATGTCAAGATCCGACCTGACCGAAAGATCCTGGCCACCGCGGGCTGGGACCATCGTGTCCGAGTGTTTCACTGGCGGACGATGAAGCCACTGGCCGTGCTGGCCTTCCACACCTCCATTGTCCACTGCCTGGCCTTTGCTGCTGATGGCTTGCTGGCAGCGGGGTCCAAGGATCATCGCATCAGCGTCTGGTCGCTCTACCCTCGCTCGTGACTTGCCTGCTTCCTGTTACAGACACACGGGGGACAGAGAGGTGGCACCCACACTTCGATCTGACCCAGGCCTGTGGAAACCATGCTTCAGGACCCCTGAGGACATCAAGTCACCAGTTCTCCTCGCTTTTTGCGTGAGGCTTATTTCCTCTTGTGAAATTCAGCATCCATGCAGCAGTGACTCTGTGGTTTACAAAGAGTAACTGGGCCAGACACCTGGGCATGTATGGCCTAGGTTAGAGGCCATCCTGGGAGGTGCTTTCCAGTAAACTTAACGTTGCAAACCTGTAGGCTTGGGGTATGAATTCTCCAAGGCAACCCGTTTCCCTCTCAGGGTCAGAGCTGAGCGAGTGTCATCTACTCAGACCCTCCACAGGGCAGGTTGGTCAGCCCCCATCCAACAGGGGACACTAAGCGTGGTCCCCAGGACCTGACACATAGCTCCTCACCCCAGGGATAGGCAGGAGCTCTGACGCACAGCGCTGAGGCCAGGACATGAGAAGGGAGTGACTGACTTCTACGGAAGTGAGGCAGAAAGAGGGTGCTGAGGAGGGATGGCAAAGGCAACTGGGCAGAGAGAGCCCATGGTGGGGGGCAGGTCAAACACAGGATGGGTGGGAGGAAGGGCCACCCCAAGGAGAGTGAGACCAAGGATGGCAAAGGGCTACATTTGGGCAGAAAGCCCAGCAGCCGTAGATGAGACAGGCCAGGCCTGGCCCTCCTGGCACCCAGGGCGCAGTGACAGCTGGCACCACACACACAGGGCAACTGGGCATCAGCACCCCAATCAGGTAGTGCAACCAGAGTCTCCTCCCATGTGTGGCCAAGCCCTGCCATCAGGGTGTCTTCTCCTAAAGCTAGGTCATTGGTAGGGAAGAAACAGGATCCTTAAAATTGGGGTGGGAACTGTGGGCAGGTTCCGGCAAAGCTGAGGGCCTCAAACCCCTTTGTTCTGCCAGCTTCTTTGACAGAAGAGCCCCCTTGGGCCTGCCAAAGGAAGTCCACCCTCCTTTACCCAAAGGACCTAGAATGGCCTCCCCCTAGGCAGGGGCCTTGCGGGACACTCAGGATCCTCAGCCTCGCCCTGCTTTGCTTGTAACTAGACTCAGGTCGCAGCAGGCCCCCAAGGGTGAGGTACAAAGTGTGACCCATGAGGAGGTGGCTACGCTCCAAAAGAGCTGCACGGTTCTCCCGGCTTATGCCGGCGGAAATCTGGAGAACACGTGTGGGATCCAGGTGGCAGGAATATGAGACGCATCGGGCCGAATCCATTGGAACAGGTCCACTGACAGAGGGTCTGGCCTCGATGCCACAGCTCGAGGGGTTAAAAGGGCCTCCAAGGTCTTGCTGGTAGTTTGAAACAAGGACCACAAGGCAGGCACACTAAGTTAGGGTTGAAATGCCAGAGCCGCCTTGGGGTACCGCAGAGGGGGCACATGAGGGTTTACAGAGATTGGGGTGTTCTGGGTGACTTACCACAGGAGACCCGCTCACCCACTGCAGGAGGGGCCAGGGACATGCCCTCCCCATCACTGGGAGGAATACAGCTGTGAGGGGCCCGGCATCCTGGAAGGACTCTGTTGTCGCTCTTCTCTGCAGGTCAGAAACTGCGTGGGAGCTGCTGCCACAGAACAGGGATCTCTAAGTGCAGTGGTTCCCAGGCTGACAGGGCCTGTTGGTGGCACCCAGTTGCTAAAGACAGGGTGGGCACAGTTGTCTTGATGGCTGCTGGGGTCGCGGCCCCAGTCAGCAGTCTGACTTGCAGCGGCGCAGGCACAGGCCCATGACCGTGGGTCCCTGGGAATGGAATCGAGGGGCAGCCTGCTGAGGTCTGTCTTGGTCCACATGAGCAGAAGTATTGTGGATCTAAGAAATGGACATCTGACCTGGGCCATCGAAACGGAGGCCCAGCCCCTCAGTCATAGAGCTAGGCCCCTTGAGGAAAGACCCCACTACACTGCTGACAATAATGTACTGCTGATATTTGCCCAGCTTCTGCCAGGGGCCGGCGACCGCCACCCTCCCCACCCCCCCACCCCTGCCCAGGAACTGAGCACCGTCCTGGGAAGGCAGCCCTGATCCTGAGCTCATGGATCACCCAGTGCAGGGACTGGCCTCCCACACTGACCCCACTGGATGGAGGTGCTGCCAGGTGTCCCCTAGCACCTTAAGTAGGGGCCACACCAGCCCCTGAGTGTCCTGTAGCCGGGATTTCCACATTATGAATGTCCTGAGGAAGAGAAGCAGTTTGGGCTGCAGGAACCCGCACCTCATCAGACATGAGGGGAGCTACAGGGAGCCATGCTCTGGGTGCTCCTCACAGGTCAGAGACGGTGGAGAGTGACCTCACCAGGCGGTAGCCTGGCCATGGCTCCCCCAAGAGGCCACACACTGGGGCAGCAACCGAAGCCTGTCAGGGCCACCTCAGAACACACACCCTCTGCCTCGTCTCTGCAGAGGCGCCTTCCTGCTCACACGGCTGAAGACAGTAGGGCGCCAGCTTGTGGATGGTCATTTCAGAAGGCGAACCTTCGCTGACCTCCAGCAAAGCCTCCACAGCCACTTCCACAGACGTCCACGCCCTAAAGACTGGACCAGAGGTGACAGTGGCCACGGGGTACTACCAAATAGCAATGACCTCTGTCAGACAAGGCTCCGCACCCACCTGTCCTTCTCACGAAAGCAAAGCTGTGAACACACACAAAGGGCAAGTGGTGACATCCCTCCTCGGGTGCTGGAGACAGTGAGGCTGTGCTGTGGAGATGCCGCCATGAGAAAGGCACCTCATCAATTCCTCTGCACCCTTCCAGGGCCCTGCTCGAACCCACTGTTGTGCTGGGACTCCCCGTGGCCGTCTTTCCTCAGCTTGGACTCCCAGGCAGCTTGCACAGGGCTGGTGCAGCCTCAGGGCTGTGAGGCTGGGTCCCAGCTGAGGGCCTGTGCCCCTGCCCCTGCGTAAGTCCATGTCATAGCTCATCAAGGATCATGACGACTCTGTCCTTTGTCAGAATCATGGTTTACAGAGCTAGCCTTGGCGGGGTGTTACAGACCAAGGGACCGGGTACTGCAAGTCAGCATGAGGTGCTTCCAGGGTGCTGAGGTGAGCCGTGTGTGCTGACTGCCAGGGTCCTACGCCTGGACGTGGTGAGGAGGAGGTGCTGGTGACGCAGACCTCATGCCCACGTGTGGCCCTCACCCTGACGTTGAAGGTGCACACAGGTTCACAGAGCATCACAGGCAGCTGACTCGAGCTGGGCTCCATGCTGTCTACCAAGTCGTGCTGGTGAGCAGTGTCCTAGGGACATCTTGTGGCTGAATCTCAGTGTGTGGGGACCAAGTTGGGCTGTGACAGACGTCCCCCACAAACCCCCTGTGCCTGATGTGGCCCTTCTCCATGCAGAGAGGGCCTTGGGCTGGGGCTGGGTGGGTAAGGTGGCAGGATCCTCAGCCTCTGAGGCTTAATGGATGTCACCGAAGATTGGTGGCTGAGAATTTTGTTTACTCAGCTGAGCCCCCTAGAACAACAGTGACACCAGCTGTACTAGGAATGTTGGTGTCCGAACCAGCGGGCCATCCAGGTCGTTTTCTGGGCTCTTCCTCTTTACCCACAGTGGGACCTGGCTTTGTACAGCAGGCCTCTGCCTTGGCAGGACCTGGGGCCACAGCAGATCACCACGGACCCGAGCAGACTCAGACCTCCCACACCACGAGGAATGGGCTATGTCCCAGCCAGCCAGCCTGGGGAGGATGCTTGATGTTTGCAGAGCTTCAGATTATCCTTGTCACGTCCCCAGGGCCAAGTCCTTCCTCAAACCTGACCGAGTGCCAGGAGCGAGCTGAGCTCCGGGACCCAGATGTGCAGGGGCACTGCCATCTTCCAGCAGCTGTGACCCCTGTGGTGGGGGGAGGGGCTTTAGCCAGTTTCCCTGACCGTCCAGCATGGGCTGCAGCATGGACACAGGTGCCGTCCCTGCGCGGCTCACATGGGACAGGTAGGTGCTCTGTGAGGAGGAGCCTCTGTGGCTCCAAAGCCAAGTGTGCTCTCGTGGTTAGTCCGTTGGACGTTAACTATGGGCCCTCTACGTTCCGTGAGGTGGCTTCTTTGTTTCCTTTACATGAACGTTCACAGCAGCTTTGTTCAAAACTAGAAACAACCAAAATGTCTCTTGGCAGATGAATGGAGATGTGAACTGTGGTCAGTCTGTACCATGCAGTTCCGCCAGCCACAGAGAAGAACTGGCTAGGCCCTGTGGACTCAGGTGGAGGGTACAGTAGTAGGCAACCCACTGAGGCCATCTCAGGCCAGAAAGCGCAGCACAGCCCGTATCCTCCCCCCACCCACTTGTGCCTGTCCAGGTGAGGTCACATGAGGTACCCCTGGGGCAACGCCTGCACAGAGGCTGTTTGGGCATGGCCCCCCAACATTTTGAGTAGACCATGGGGCTCAGGCAGAGGACAATGGGAGGCCTCACACTCCACTGAAAAGTGTTCTCCAGTTTCCATTTTACCACGACACAAAAGGCCTGCTTTTCCTTGAAGATGTTCCTGCACACCCAGTGTCAGTCCACAAGCCTGTCCTTGGCAGTCCAGTTGCCAGCGCTGTTCCTCAACCCATCAGATGAAAGGGAGAGCAGGGCTCGGGCCAGGCCTTTGACCTTCACCTCAGGCTGTGAGGGAAGCCCCATTCCTGGTCACACAGCTGGAGGCTGGCAGTGCCGGTGCATTTGCTGATAGGTGGTGTCTGCCTGTCCCCATGGGTGGTTCGGGGCTGGTGGAGGGCTGGAGGCAGCGCGTCCAGTCATCTCTGGCCCTGCTTGTCCACCTGCCCTCGTGTCAGGTGTTTCCAACAGGACCTCCCTGGGCACAGCACACCCAGCCACGTCTGTCTGTAGCATCAGGTGGCTTTGCAAAATCACTCCCATGAGCCCTGACCGGTGTGCCTTGGTTGTGCGTCATCCTGCGAAGTGAACAGTAGCCAGTTCAATTCCCAATGAGGGCACGTACCTGGGTTGCGGGTTTGGTCCCCAGTCAGGGTGCAAATAAAAGCAACCAACCGGTGTTTCTCACATTGACATTTCTCTCCCTCTCTTTCTCCCTTCCTTCCCCTCTCTCTAAAAACTAATAAATAAAATCTTTAAAAACTTGAAGAATCAGTGCCATGATTTTCTCCCCAGTTCCAAAGTGCTTTTTCTGGCTACTTTAGCTGTTCACTGAGCAACCTCCTTTGGGACTTACATTTAATGCTGTTTAATTCAGGAGTCATTTTCACTTTACACAGTCCCCA